GCGAGTTAGGAAAATCGAAACGACATGGAGCAGCGCGATCGATCTGCTCGAAGTCACACTAAATGGGAATGGTAGAAAGTTGCAAGACTTTCGTGCTGGCAATGGCCTGACTCTAACTGAATCCTCCTCTTAGGTCAAGGATGTCCACAAGTGTACCTGGCACAGGGAGTCTGACAATCTGACTGGAACGCGATGGACCCGAGGGCAGTGGCAGATTATTCCCAATAACTCGAAACTGTTCATAGGGGGGCGGTTCCCTAGTTCCATGTCCCCCTCCCCCCGGCCACCCGAATCCAGGACAAAATGGTCCCGGAAATTTTGGTCCCAAATGAGGAACAGGACAAAATGGTCCCTGCGGTAAAAATGTATGATGACGGCTCATCGAGTCAACGATAATTTAAAGAATTGCGTCATATTCTCATGACAACCTTCTAAAATTAAGTTATTTATTACCCTGAAGGTCGAAAGCATTGGGGACTATAATTCAAGGAGATATTCATTTACCGTATCATCATATGTTTGAGTAGTACTAAAGATTCACCCCCCTTCTCATTCGTCTTCCCGTAGCTTGTCCATCCTCCTATTGCCATCCCTATTCCCTTTTTTTTTAAATTAAAAATTAAAAATGAACCTGCAGGAGGTGAGTTAGGCTCACCCATTTCTGCACTGGGTGGCTCACAATCCAAAACTTTTTTTTTCGGTAACCGTATTTAAATGTCAGTAGACTTGAGTATACACGTATAATGCCTGAGCGTGTTCCAGGGGTGCCCGGAAAAAAATGCCCACAGAAATAATACCTCCAGTAAAAACGCCCTTAAGAAAAAACACCCATGCCTGCAAAGCATGAAAAATGGCCCACTTGCAAATTATTTCCAAATATCTCTTGCGGCTTCTTTATTGTTGTAAAAACAAGTGCATTTCACAGTATTTTCAAAATTTGATATACAACCATTGAATAAATTAAATATATCCCATCTTTCAACGCAATAAAACATGAATATGAGGATATACATTCCCAAGATATGTCGGTTTAGGAAAAAAGGTACCCGGAAAAAAGACCCCCAGATTTGGCAAAGACAGTAAATTGCCATCTTGTTATGCTCATGTCAGATTAAAGACGCATTCATTTTTGCGACATTTAGTGATATTGATGTCATGTAATTTGTTCAATTTCACTGAAATGTTATGAAAAATGCTATAAAAAATAAAATAAGTCCAACACCAGCACATTCCTTAAAAATGAGTAGTATGGCCAACCCCCCGCAGGAAATCTTTTGGTGGTGGCCGTGTTGCAGGATGAGAAGATTGCACTCTCTGAACACTTCTTGGAATTTGTTCTCAAATAACGATTTCTCTGAGGTCATGTAAGGTTTCTTGTTTCATCTCCCTCCTATCCACTTTCACTCCTTTTCCAGGAGGTGGAGAGGATCAGGATTAGCTCCCCTCCTTAATCCGCCCCCTGAACCACTCATCTGGGTCGCCCACGGGAGGGGGGGGGGGGGGGGGGGGGGGGGGGGCTGAC